CATAAGATCATCATCCCAACAATGTGCAACTAAAATGTGATAAAATTATTTAACAAATTATTCTTTTAAAGTACATGGGGGAATGTTGGTAACCAGAAATTTGGGGGAATGTTGGCAACCAGAAATTTGTATATACATATTTGTCTAACAGGAACTAACAAAGCCAAATATCCATTTAAAACTGCCTTTCCTAATCATTTGAACTATACATATATTAATCCTCATTAAAACACCTGAAAGAAAATATTTCAAAATAAAAGCAACAGATATATATTGTTAAAAAATTGGCCCACAAAATACTGACACAGAGAACAGTGTGCTATGCCTGCATGCATTTTTATGTAATTAATGCCATTATTACTCAATACGTGCATAAACAGAGGGAAAGCAGCATTTCAGTGTCAAAAAACTGCATACAATAATACATGAGATTTAAACATGAACACTTAGACACGACACCACCACCACTTGCTTCAAAGCTCAGTGAGAGACAAAAACACATCTCCTTTCCCTCATATTTCATGAGTAACATAAGCTGATCTATTAACTCACCAACAACTGTCATGTTGGCTGTCTTGTCATCAAATGTGAAATCTGGCCAGTCCCTGCCCACTTCACACTTGTACTGTCCGGTTGCAGTCAGGTCCACTTCACGGAGCACCACCTTGTTCTCCTGTGACTCTTCCATCTGCAATACATTCCAGGTCTGAACTTCAAAGCCTTTTTTACATTCAAGTTGCATATCAAAAACATGATGTTATGTACAGTAAGTATCAATGAATCAATACTGAACAAGAAACTAAAAGTGAAGAAAATCATTGCAAATCATCATCAATGACATTATTACAATAAAAAAATTACCCATAATATTGCCAACCATTTACATGGAATTCCTTAATCTAACAAACTTTTACTACATCAAAATGTGTATACACTAACATCAAATCCCCAAAGAATTAACAGAGTACAAGTCTACTTGAGATTTTTTCGTCTATCTGAGAAACTTCAGTCTTAATGCTTTTAACTGTCCTTTGCCTGGTCTTCAAACAAGGAAAAAAAATTACTGTTCTCCAGTTTAAGCTATACTCAAAGTACTTATACAACAGGCAGCAGCACCACTCTGTCTCAATGAAAATCCTAATTAATAACTGCCGAGTTAAGCCACCTCTTCCAACATTTATTGGAAACAGTAATAAGGTCTCTTTATTTTCCTCTCTTTTTTGCTTATTTGTTAACCACTAACATGACACAACAAATTATATGGCACAGATTGACAGGTGTAAAAATAGGGTGAATCTAAACAATGTCACATAATTACATATTTGTATAAATTACTTGATGATATAAAGGTAGAAAAACAAAAATGTTTTCATTAAAATTAAGTGTTCCATACAATAAACAGTCTTTAGCATACTCTAGCCATTTTTTTTCTTTTTTAGGGGGTTAAAAGGTTAAATGGAAGTGATGCTACCTGGCTATACTATATTAAATTTGTTGTATATCTGATCATACTATCTGTTAAAAAAATGTATTTGAAGTTTTTCACATTTATATAGAGGTCTCTTGATCTCAGTGTTATAGATGGATGACTGTGTATTATATTCAAGCAGTCAAACAGATTGTACTGTATTCACTTACAATGACTTGGATATTTGAGTTGTTGAAAGCTGCCATCATGGGATCTTCACTGGGTGTGTACCTGCAATACAAAATTTTATATAAGCCCTGAGAGAGAACAGATAGTAGTCATTGTGTGGACAGCTGGTTCTCAAGTTTTTTTTTTTGTATCATTATCCTTGGCCCAACCCCATTATCCTTCAGTTAAGTGAAGTTAAAGGAAAAAAAATTAGAATACATTTGGGAAACTAAAGTTATTCAGGAAATAAAGAATTTGATAAAAACATTAACTAGGATATTTTTCCCTTTATTACAACTTGTAATTAAAGCATCATTCCTATGGCAATTAATATGAAGTAGACATTATTGCTACATTATTTAAAGGGAAACATGATATATTTCATCCTTTTAAAAAAATCAACAAAAAGGTCTGTTGAAGACAGTACACATCACATATTAGTATTTTGCATCTTTAAGCTGATTTCTGGCTTTGGTTTGAATACAAACTAAAGCCAAAAAAGGAGCCTTATATTACCAAGTTGTTGCAAAAGGGATGAGCACATCAAGAGCTCTCCCGTCATCTTTTCATCAAGAGTAAATGGGTTGTTAATATCATTTATATACTATCATTATCTATTTACCTATTCATTCATTCATCTTTTTATTAATACCACTTACTCATTACTTTTGGAAAGTGCCTCACTGCCCCCCCCCAAAAAAGACTATTATCCATATGGGTATCATTACCCTTAGTTTGAGAACCACTGGTGTAGACAATGCTTCTTACACTCACAAACAGTTCTCTCTGGGGTGGATGAAATTATTTTGAGGTGCAAGACACAAGAGGAGGAAGGGCATGGAGATATATTACTTTGTTCATATTATCTTTACATAAAAACGGTGTACAAAAAGGAATTTCCTAGATGCGTGTAACATGTTCCAGTAATGCAAATTTAGCCAGGCAAGCATGCCATTCAGTTTGTGACAGTCAGTTTCCATAGGAACCTTCCACATGGGAAACTACACCTCTTCAAGGTTAAATAGGTATTTTAATTCTTGAAACATGAGCGTTTCTCCTTTAAAAAATAAATAAAAAGAAGAGAAGATGGCACATTAAAAAATGGAAAAAAAAAAAAAAAAAAAAAAAAAAAAAAATCACTTTACAGGTAAAGTTGGTTTACAGCCCCTCTGAGATGTCATAATAACCTTATTCAATGCACCATTCTAAAGTTGGTTTAACATGTGCATCCTCAGGGAGTGAGGTGTGTACTATGACTGGCCCAGGTTTTACTTTGGCAATAGACAAAGTATGCATCCAATAATTCTTTGATTGAGTACAAGGGAGAAGGGTTAAATATGGTAAACATCCTGGAAAGATGATCTCCCTTGGAAAAGGACAAGGGGTGTATCCTGTATTATCATACCTACATAACACTTTAACTGCCCAATGTCTCCTTAACTGAAACAAAGTTATAATGATTATAATTCTAAAACTGTATAATTTGAAATAAATTAGCTGAGAACAGCCTGACTCAATTATCATAATTTTTAAAAATCATACAAAATAAATATTCAGTCCTAGTTTCTCTATAGCCTTTTGACACAGTATTATTCAAGGTCACTATTGAGTAATATGATGCTATCATCCCCTTTTTCATTAACCTCAAAAGAGGAACTAAGTTGTTGGGGTCATCTCAACTTCAAGGTCAGTTGACCTGCTAGTTTTACACTGCCTCATTAGCATTAGAAAGTTGCATTGTATACTCTTTAAAACAATTGCAGCTGTTGAGCATTTAGGTCCTGACATTCAGCTTCCATAGTTGATAGGAATATGTGAGGAAGCACACTTCATATGGAGAACAATAACCAAACTATAAATAGAATCCATCATTAATGATAAAAGCAAGAACCTTGTCATGGCTGTTACCATAGACCCCTGTGTGGTTCTCAGTGAAGAGAAGAAGCCTCAGGTGGAAACCTGTGGCCAACATCAATAGGCTTCTGGCATCTCAATGAAAGGCAATTGCTGAAAAAATGAGGCTATGGCAGACCCACAGCTCTCAATACCCAAGTACTGGTATGGAGGGCTGGTCACAAAAGACCAAGGCCAACTAACATTGATAATGGTAATACGTTACCATTAGGTAAAAGTGCTCAAAACACCCAAGGTACTTTAATTTTCAATGAGCATGTATGGTTACTGTGTCAAATGACAAGGCACACTTCAGTTTCTTGCAGGAGCTCTTTGATAGAGGGAAGCTAAACATTGCAGCTCAGACTCTAGGTTCTCTTGTCACATACACGCTAGATGTGATCATGTTATATCCTAAGGTTATTGGCCCTAGAAAGTACCCTACAAACAAGTATTGGTAAATATAAAAGCACCCAATTTTAGCTTCCTCACCCTGGGGTCTTGTATTCACAGTATCAGGCTTCTGTGAGTCTATGACCCCATAATCAGAAGTTTACGCAATTTCATAAATGTGCTCATAAGGTTCCTTGTTATGTAAACTTTGAAATGATGATATCACTGTGCAGAGAGAGTGAGAGAAAAAAAACTTTTTGATTAGTGCTATTGGGTTTTCCTTACTTTTCTTGGAAGTATTGTTTGTGCCTGTGTTACTGGGGTGGCTACGTCTATGCTTCTACTCAATCAAGTTTCTTTTAGAAGGAAAGCTTTCTTAAATACCTTCAACTGTCCTCAAGTAAAGCAAGCTCCTACCTGAAGAACTCCTCATCGTTGAAATACCACTTGACAGTGTAGAGATCTTCGGAGCCCAAGTCATAATTACAGGTGAGAGTCTGGTTGGTGTAACGTTCTGCATTCAGAGGAACATCCAGGTTCGTCACGTAACCAGCCGACCCCAGCATGACTGAAAGAAACAAAACAAGTATTAATCAAAGTCACAACAAAATCAAATGTTGGTTACGTGCGATTTAACATAATTCTGAACACGACATAACTATAAAATGGGAATCTCAGTGAATAATGGTTGAAGAACTACAAAATAGTTTATCAACAACAGTATACATACATACATACATAAACACACACACACACACACACACACACACACACACACACACATATATATATATACCTTTTTTTTTCTTCTTTTTTTTATCTATTTTATTTATTTATTTATTATTTTTTATGTTATATTAGAGAAAAAATACATCATGATTAGTATAGAGGCATTTCCCAGTACATCAAACAGAGCTCATGATTAGCTCTCCCTTTCACACAAGCCTCAAACTCTCAAATACATGTATGTCTATCACCCTGTCTGTCTCTGTTTTGCTCCAGCATGCCTATCTACATAGTAAAACGAAGCACATCAATAAAAAAACTTCTTGTACAACCTAAACTTTCCAAGGTGCAATACAATGGATCCTCACATATCGCTGTGCATTTGAACCACAGACATCTAACAAGTAACAAGGTAAATGATGACACATAACATCAATCACTGACCAATACATTCCAGTTGGGTCCATTTGAGACCTGTGGCATGGTTGACAAGAGATGCGTTTCCCGATAACCTATACATTTGTCAAAATTACATAAAAACGCGAGTCTGGAATACAATTTGAGACATAGAAAGCGAAGCAAAGGTAAGTACAGGTGGATAAGGGGACTTCCTCATCCATTTCCGCCAATTCAACTTAGACAACGACTTAAGGGATTAATCAAGAATGCCTTCGGGTGGTCTGACACTTTCCCGTCATCGTATATGAATGATTATCTTAACTTTCCTGTTGTTCACTTTTGAATTTGTGACATATGCTATATAAATGTATCACAGACTACTCGTGCCCCAGATCACGTACCGTCCGAATGGTCTATCAACGAAATTTTTGTCTGTTACTTTCCACAAACTTTGACCATGAGAAAATAAAGCAGTAAAGCAGAATTAAAGGAGCAGTAAATTGCGAAGAGCCTATAACTGTCAATGACAAAAAAAGGTGGGCTGTAACCTTTGAACAGAGTAGTAAAAACTGGAGTGTTTAGGTAACTCTGAATCTTTATAAAGTCTACACCTGTGGTTCCCAATCCCAGAGTCGCACCCGAAAAAGTTTGAGAAACACTGGTCTACATAATCAACAGCGGCTGCGAGAATCGTAAGTACCTTTTAACAGGTTCATTTACACTTTTTTGTGTGTACAGAGCGAAGCCAGGAATAAAAGGAATCAAACATGCATCTCTTTGGTCTACCATAGAAAGTAATTAAAAAGTTCACAAATACACCAAAAATCATCTCAAAATTAAAAAATGTAAACGAACACAATGATGTTGAAACCATATTTACACATAGTAACGTCCCTTGTTAGCAGTGATCGATAATCAGGTAATTGGGTCAGAGGAGGGTAATTAGTCTGCGCCCCCCCCTCCCCCGCTAAAAAAATAATGCTACTATAATATTAGAGCAAGACAGGCTTTATCCCTGAATCGCGACCAATATCTAACGACATCTAACGAGACAGCCCAATTATCTTCTGTGGTCTGCCCCTCTCCCTCTGTCTTCTCACGTTATTTTTTGTTTAATGAATTATCCGACTGGGTACAAGTACTGCATGACACATTGAAATTACGACCACAGTTACCAGTATTACACACCTACTCTCACGTCAATCTTATCTGCTTATCTGCTTTCACACTCAAATCCTCGTATGTAACACACCTTTATACACAAGCATCACGTGAGCACAAACTCGACGGACGGAAAACTTCAAACGGACGACCCCTAAGAAGAAACAGCAACAGAACAGTATGAATGAAGTTAGCTGATATAAAGACAATAGCTGGAATGACCATTTCTAAGGACAGAAAGAAAGAAAAGAAGAAAAAAAGAAAGAAAAAAGAAAAAAGAAATGCTGGTAAGACCATCAATCCGCAGTCGCTGAAACGGCTAATGGTGCTTCTGTGAATACTTTTTTCATCATTGTCGGGCATGCCAGTTTCTCTTAGAAAAAATATATGCGTATATGTATTCCTTTCCACTCATGCAATTACCTCTTACTTTTTTCTCCCCCATTCCTGCCTTCTTCCCTACTCTCTCTCCTTCCTCCCTTTCCCTCCTCCCTTCCTGCCATCTTCTCTCCCTCCCCTCCCCTCCCCCTTTTCCCTTTTCCCTTCCTCTCTCCTCCTTTCTCCCTTCCTGACTTTTCCATCCTTCTCCTCCTTCCTGCCTTTTCCCTCCTCTCTCCTCCCTTCCTGCCATCTTCCCTCATCTCTCCTCCCTTTTTCCCTCATCTCTCCTCCCTTCCTCCTTTATTTCCCTTCTCCTTTCCACTCACAGCTCCACTTTCCCTGCAATTTCGGTGCAGCACCTACTCGCTCCGCCGGCCTGCGTTACGCCATTCACTGTCCTTCCCGAATTTCCATTTACATGCCTGCATAATTGTTCGTTCTTCTTCCTTTACGATACATTTGTTTCTCCTCTTGTTTGCATTTTCTTAATAACCGTTTTTGTGTTTTTGTTTTGTTTATTTGTTTTTCCTGTTGTTTTCTTAATAACCGTTGTTGTTTTGTTTTGTTTGTTTTTTTGTTTCTCCTTTTTAACCATTTGACATTTTGCTATTTCTCCGTCACTCTTTCCACTTTTTCCTGTCCCACTTTCTTGCACTTCGAATGCCTCCAGTTCTCTTCTACTCTATCCTCTTCCAAACTTTCTCCCTCTGACATCTCCTTATTCTTACTTACGACTCTCTTTAAGACCAAAATTGCGGGCAAAGAAGAGAGAGAGAGAGAGAGAGAGAGAGAGAGAGAGAGAGAGAGAGAGAGAGAGAGAGAGAGAGAGAGAGAGAGAGAGAAGAGAGAGAGAGAGAGAGAGAGACACGATTCACACCGAGTGAACAGACAACAGAGAGAGGGAACGTAGATAGGGGAGGGGAAGGGGGAGAACAGGAGGGCGTTACGAGGGAGGGGAGGATAGAGAACAGGAGGGTGATAGGAGGGGGAAGGGGAGAACAGGAGGGTGATGCAAGGGGGAAGGGGGAAGGGGGAGAAGAGGAGAGTGATGCGCGGGGGAAGGGAGGGGGGAGAACAGGAGGGTGATACGTGGGGGAGGGTAGGGGGAGAACAGGAGGCTGATACGTGGGGAAAGGGGTGGGGGAGAACAGGAGAATGATACGAGGGGGAAGGGGAGGGGGGGGGAGAACAGAAGGCTGAATGCGAGGGGGAAGGGGAAGGGAGAGAACAGAAGGCTGATACGTGGGGAAAAGGGGAGGGGGAGAGAACAGAAGGGTGACACGTGGGGGAAAGGGGAGGGGGGAGAACAGAAGGGTGATAAAGAGGGGGGAGAGGGGGGCGCCTGCAGTCTCGGGAGCGCTCAACTTTCAATTCCGGCAGATCAGACTTCCACCGGCTCGCTTCACGGGGACTATCTCTTCAAGTAGGCCTAGCCCTTGCTGGGGACTGCGAGGGAGGTTAGACAAAGGCTGATGCTTTTCCCTTGTTGCTGAAAATCACTTTCTGTTCAGATCGAAAGATTAGGAAGAAAAGAACGAAGATATCACATTCAGACATAAGAAACAAGAGGAAAAAAAGAAGGAAATAAGGAAAAAGAAGGAAATAAAGAAGTAAAAGAGGGAAATAAGGAAAAAGAGGGAAAAGAGGAGGAAAAAGAAATGAGGAGGAAGAGGGAATGAGGAGGAAAAAGAGGGAAATGAGGAAGAAAGTTGAAGAAGAGGAAATATGTAAAAGAAATAAGAAGGAAAAAGAGGGAAATAAGTAGGAACATCTGGGAAATAAATGGGAAGAAGAGGGAAATAAGGAGGAAAAAGAGGAGAATGAAGAAAATCAAGATACCATCCGAAGCGTAAGAGAGAGAAAGTCCTCTCCGGAAGATGGCTGCCATGCGCGCGGAACGGCCAATCGCCCCGCTGGCCCTTCCGTGGCAGGTCTTTATCTCTCCATGATCGCCCTCACCATCATCACCATTAATCGTCGCCGCGGATCAGAGTCGTCTCTCCAGCATCGCCTCAAATGGTGCGCTCTGAAGGGGTGGGATGGGGGTGGGTGGGGGGGAGAGGGGGATTGATCGCCTTTCGCCCGCGTTCTCTCTCTCTCTTTTCCTGCACTCCCCATTATGCTCTTAGATTATCTGCGACTCATATTTGTTCTTTGAGCCTACGGTTTATAATAATTAAAAATAATGGTAGTGGAGATAATGGTGATAATGGCATGTAACCGTTATTACAACTGTTATTAAATTTATTGGACTCCTTAGATTTTCGCCCCCCTCCTCCTCCCCCTCCCCACAACAGCTTACTCACACCCGATAATCTCCCGACCGCTATTGTCTTCCCAGTCAAGAAACACTCCCCATCCTTCCCTCCCTTCCTACTCTTCCTCTCTTTATTACTATTACCCGTAGCCCCTTAATCCCTTTTCGGGCCTCCTCTCGACGTGTTGAAATGCGGGGCACGTGAACGACCGTCGGGTGTCCCTCCTCGCCGCTGAGCCCTCTGTCGGGTCGCAAGGGGATGACCCGGGTTGTTCCTGCACAGTCGCCCTTGCTTTCGACTCTCGACTACTCGACTCTCGACTCTCGACTCTCGACTCTCGACTCGACTCTTGACTCGACTCTTGACTCGCACTTTATTCATGAAGGTCGTTTCCTCTAAACTGTAAATTGTCAAAGAATAAAATGAAATAAAATAGCCTGCATACAGTCGCCCGTGATTTCGACTCTTGACTCTTGACTCGCACTTTATTCATGAAGGTCGTTTCCTCTAAACTGTAAATTGTCAAAGAATAAAATGAAATAAAATAAACTGCATACAGTCGCCCTTGATTTCGACTCTTGACTCTTCCACTTTCTTCATGTTCGTCATTTCCTCTAAACTACAAATTGTCAAAGAATAAAATAAAATAAAATAAAATAAATCAATAAATACTACTAATAAAATACTCCCTAAAACAGACCGCGCTGGAGAAGGTCCGATCTGAGATTTACAACTGAATTTCCGCAAATCCTAAATAATAATCTACAGGAGCTAAAAGTAACCCATTCCCGCCCGCGACTTCCCTTCTTTCCATACCATTTCTCCCTCCCTTTTCCTCCTCTTCCTCCTTCCTCCTCTCCCCTTTTCCCCCCTTCCCCCGAACCAACGGCCAGTCAGCGCCATTAGTCTCTTTCATTTTCCTTCTCCCGCTCTCATCTTTCTATCGCCTCTCCCCCTCTCTTCCGCTCGCCTCTCCCTCCCCCTTCCATCCATCAGGGAAGCCCGACAAACCCGTGATTTTTCCGCTCCCGGGAGTAATCTGTGCCTCTGGACACTCGCCTGCATAATGACGAGACAGAAACGGGACACTTGGTTGGTCCGGGGAGGAGAACCCGCACGGGGGAGGGGGAGGGAGAGAGGGAGAGAGGGAGAG